TGGGGGGGTACCCCCAGGGGTATTTAACAGCGGGGGGAGGGGGATGGGGGCGCACAGAGGGGGTGATAAAGCACCTGGTCTCCTCCTCTCCTGGTCCTTGTGTCTCTTTTGGGGGGCTGGTTGGGGTGAGGGGGGCACCCCCACATCCACGATTGTGTGTGTGTGTGTGTGTGTGTGCGTGCATCCCACTCCCCAAAAAAAGCACAGCTCAGGAGCTCCTGGTGCTTTACAAAATGATTTGGGGTGGGGGGAGCCCCTTGGTGGGGGGGCCCCGCTGCTGTTCCCCTTCTTTTTGGCCTTTGGGATTTGGAATTTGTACCCTCCCAACTTGGCCTTGTCCCCCAGCACTGCCTCGACCCTGGCAGGGACAGGAGCTCAGTGGGGCGATGTGGGGGTGGTCCAGGGGCCAGCAGACATGGGGAGGTCTGGGGAAGAAGGGGGACACACAGGGACACACGGGGACAAGGGTACTCCTTTGGCACGGGGCCTTTTCCCAAGGAATTGCCTGGGTGGGCACAGAGACCCCGGTGCTTTTCCACACGGAGATTTGCAGGAGGGATTGCACAGACGGGTTCCGTGGTTGGGGTTTTCACAGGTTGGGGTTCCCGCAGCAGTTTGTGCGCGCGGTCACACCCGGCGGCCTCTGCTGCCGGGGGGTTTCACACCGGGATGGATCCCATAACGAGGGGGCTGCCCAGGGGTCTGTGAGGGTCGCACCTGCGGGTTGGGCACTGCCAGGTCAGGATGTGCCAGGATCCACTTCCAGCCCTCCCAGTCATCCGGCCAAAGGGCTCCTGAGCTGACAGCGCTGCGGGGAAGCAGCCAGCACCAGCATGGCCCAGTCCCCTGCGGGTGGGAGAGGGATGGGGACCACCCTGGGCACAGCCCCCAGCTGCGTCCCCCAGTTATCCCCCAGTCTGCTCCAGTTCATCCCCATGCCCTGCGCTGCCTCCTGGTCCTTCTCGGTGTCACTCTCCTGCTTCCCAGTCCTCTTCCAGTGCCTCCCAGTTCCATCCAAGTCCCTCCCAGTTTAATCCCAGTGCTGCCCTTGGTGAAGCTGTGGTGGAGCTGTCCCCCAGTGGGGAGGCGCTGGGGATCCGGGGGGGATTCGGAGCCCAGGTCGTCTTTGCCCTCGTGACAGAACTCGTGGCTGGGTCCCCAACTTTCCCAGTGGCTGCTTCCAGAAGCTCCAGCGCTGGGAACACACAGAGAGCTGGGCCTAAACCCCCCCAGAATCCCCAAATCTCCCTGAAGCCCCCCAACAGCTGAGCCAGACTTGGGGCGTCCAGGCCCCAAATCCCTCCTGATCCCCCAGAGACCCCAAACACAGCACTGACCCCTGGCCAAGGGGGCTGGGGCGTGCAGGCCCCAAGACCACCCCCTCCAAACTGCTCTCCCACCGCGGGCAGAGGGTCCCTGGTGCTCCCCCTCCACCTCCTGCCCTTTCCCACCCTTCCCCCGCTTCTCCAATTACCACAAATCCGTGCCGTGACCCCAAAACCCAAGGCCCATCCTGGGGACCACCCCGGCGCTCCTGATGTTTCACCACAACCCCGAACCTCCCCCCAAGTCCCTCAGGCCGCCATGACCCCCCC